TGGTTTGGGGGGGGAAAATGCAGTTTGGGGGGGAATAAATGGAGTTTGGGGGATGGAAATGGGGTTTGGGGGGGGAAAACTCAGGGATTTGGGGGAGAAAAACTTAGGGATTTGGGGGGAAATCATGGCAAGGATCAAGGTGGGAAATGAAAATCCCAGGAAACCCGGAAAACTGGCAGGGGAAAAAGCCAATGCTGGTGATTTTGGGGTGGGAAAAGCCCCGAATTTCTGGGAAAAGCCCCGAATTCCTGGGAAGGCCAAGGGGCACTCACAGGCTCTGCATGTTGGCCTTGGTCAGCTCAAAGGCCCAGTCCAGCGTGGACGGCTCCAGGCCGGAGACACGGCGACACTCGATGGACACGTTCAGCCTGGGGGACACGGGGACATGGGGACACCGGGAGGGGACATGGGGACATGGGGACACCGGGAGGGGACATGGGGACACGGGGACATGGGGACACTGGGCAGGGACACGGGGTGACAGCGGGAAAGGGCTCGGGGTCATGGGGGTGACAACGGGAAGGGGCTCAGGGACACTGGGAACAACCCTGGAGACACTGGGGATGGCCCTGGGGACACCAGGAACACTCTGGGGACACTGGGACCAGCCTTGGGGACACTGGGATCACCTTGGGGACACCGGGACCAGCCTTGGGGACACTGGGATCACTCTGGGAACACACTGGGGACACTCTGGGGACACTGGGATCAGCCTTGGGGACATTGGGATCAGCCTTGGGGATACTGGGATCACTCTGGGAACACACTGGGGACACTCTGGGGACACCGGGATCACTCTGGGGACACTGGGATCAGCCTTGGGGACACCGGGATCACTCTGGGGACACTGGGATCAGCCTTGGGGACACTGGGATCACTCTGGGGACACAGTGAGGACACACTGGGGACACTGGGATCAGCCTTGGGGACACTGGGACCAGCCTTGGGGACACTGAGATCACTCTGGGGACACTGGGATCAGCTTTGGGGACGCCAGGCACCCTCTGGGGACACCGGGACCAGCCTTGGGGACACTGGGATCACTCTGGGGACACCAGGACCAGCCTTGGGGACACTCTGGGGACACCAGGACCAGCCTTGGGGACACTCTGGGGACACCAGGACCAGCCTTGGGGACACCGGGATCAGCCTTGGGGACACCGGGCACCCTCTGGGGACACCAGGATCAGCTTTGAGGACACTCTGGGGACACTGGGATCACTCTGGGGACACCAGGACCAGCCTTGGGGACACTCTGGGGACACCAGGACCAGCCTTGGGGACACCGGGATCAGCCTCGGGGACACCAGGACCAGCCTTGGGGACACTCTGGGGACACCAGGCCCAGCCTCGGGGACACCAGCACCCTGCGGGCACCCCTGAAGCGGCCTCGGCGGCACGGGGACGCCCGCGGGCACTCACCCGTTCCTGTCGTACTTTTTGAACACCGGGAAGGCCTCGAGGGGATCCCGGAGCTGCAAGAGACCAAAGAGCGGCCGAGCGGCGGCGGGCGCTGCCACCGGGGCTGTGCCCGGCCCCGGCCCGCCGGCCGCCGCCCGCGGCTGCCGCACTCACTTGGTTGGCAGCCTCCACCTTGGCGCACACCGCGGCCATGGCCGCGCGCTCCTCCAGCCGCCGCTGCTTCTTCTCCTTGGCCCGGCTCGACTTCCTCTGCGGAGAAGGGGCGGGAGTGCCAAAGGGCGCCCGGACCACGGGTGGGCACCGGAACGACGGGGGATGGGACTGAAATAACGGGGGGTGGCACCGGAATAACGGGATTGGCACCGGAATAACGGGGGGTGGCACCGGAATGACGGGATTGGGACCGGAGTGACGGGGGATGGCACCGGAGTGACGGAATTGGGACCAGAATGATGGGGGTTGGCATCGAAATAACAGGGGTTGGGACCTGAGTAACGGGGATTGGGACCAAAATAACGGGGGGGGGCACCGGAATGACGGGGGATGGCATTGGAATGATGGGGGATGGCACCGGAATAATGAGGGTTGGCACCGGAATAACGGGATTGGGACCGGAGTGACGGGGGATGGCACCGGAACGACAGGGGATGGGACCGGAATGACGGGGCAGGAGTGCCAAAATAATGGGGGTTGGCACCGAAATAACGGGGGTTGGTGCCAAAATAATGGGGGTTGGCATCGAAATAATGGGGGTTGGCACCAGAATAACAGGGGTTGGCACCGGAATAATGGGGGTTGGCATCAAAATAACGGGGGTTGGGACTGAAATAACAAAGGTTGGAACCCAAATAACGAAGGTTGGAACCAAAATAACGGGGGTTGGAACCAAAATGCCAGGAATTGGCACCAAAAGAACAGGAACTGGCAGCAAAACCCTGGGGATTGGCACCAAAAGGTCAGGGTTTGGAACCAAAAGGCCCAGAACTGGCACCAAAATGATGGGAAAATGCACCAAAACGCCACGAATTGGCACTAAATCCCTGGGGATTGGCACCAAAAGGCCAGGAACTGGCAGCAAAAGGCCAGGAATGGGCACCAAAACACCGGGAATTGGCACCAAAATGCTGGAAAAATGCACCAAAACCCTGGGGATTGGCATCAAAAGCCAGCCCTTCCCTGCTCTGCCCACCTGCAATGCCACAAGTGCTGCCCCAAACTCATTAATGAGCAACAAATGTCGTTAGTGTGCAGCTGCAGGTGGGGAGTGCCCCAAAATCATGGAAAAAAAGGGTTTAGGGATAAAAGTGAGTGCTGAATTTGTAGTGTCCCTGCGGGGGCGTTGCTGCAATTTGAGGGGGTTTTGCCCCAAAATCTTGGGGGTTTTTGGTGGGACGAGGAGGGGACAGCAAGCATGAAGTTGTTCCTTTGGGGTGGTTTTCCCAAATTTGGGAGACTGGCACTAAAAATGGGGGGGGGTTTCACCCAAAATGAAGGGTCCTGCTGGGATCCCTCCCAATCTCCGAACAGGGACTGGGATTCCTGAGCTTCAGCACCACCGAAATCCAGGGAAGTGCAGCCAAAAGCAAAGATGTGACAGGGAAAGCAGCGGGACGGGGACAGGGACGGGGTGGATGTCCCTCAGCACCACTTCTGTCAGGGGGTTTGGGGGGAATTCAGGGGGTTTGGGGGCAATTCAGGGGGTTTGGGGCTGGGAGCAGCCACCACTGCTGCTGGCTGGGATGTGGATGCTCAGATCTCCGCTTTAGGGTCATTTTGGGGGGAAAAGATGGGAATTTTCCGGCTGGGTTGGATGGGAGATCACGGGAGGGGAAGCACAGCCCCAAATCCAACCTAGAGACCCCCAAATCCCACCTTAAAGCCCCTCTAGTCATGACCACCCCTCTCTACACAGCCCCAAAGCGTCTTTAACGGCCCCAAATCCACTCAGAAAATCCCACACCTCGCCGTGGGAGCCTCACATTCTCACGGAAGGTTCTAAAACCCTCACAAAAGCCCCAAGAGCCTCAGAAAGTCCCAATTTCCTCACAGCAGCATCCAGACCCCTCACAGAGTCAGAAGCGTCCTCCTAAGAGCTCCAAATGACCTCAAACAACCCCAAAACCTCACGGAAAGTCCCAAATCTCCACACAGGAGCCTCCAATCCCCAAATCCCCTCATGGTAGCCCTGTACCACCCCAAAGAGTCTCCCCATCCTCTGAGACGCTCCCAAATACCGTCTCAGAACCCCCGTAAGGCCTCGCGGTGACCTCCCACCCTCTCAGACGACCCCAAATTCCCTCGCAGAACTCCCGCGTCCCCTCGCGGCGACCCTCCACCCGCTCAGCGGCGCCTCGCAGGCCCCACCCCTGCTCTCTTTCCCCTCAGGCCGAGCCCCCCCGAGCGCGGCGCGGCCCCGCTCACCCCCATAATGGCGGCGGCGGCGGCTCCTCACGGCGCGGGGGGCGCGGAGGGTCTGAGGGGGCGCGCGCGGGGGGCGCGCTATTTATAAGGGGGG